TCCCTCCCTTCCTTCTACGCTCCCTACAAAGCTCAAACATCCTGACATCAGGGCATGGCAGCCTCTATTTATTTATTTATCCAGATCTAACAGCCACCCCAACTGCAAACGACGTGAAGGGGCAAGCGCCTGGTCTTCGCTGAGCGACCGCCTCAGACAGCAACCCTTCTGACGGGGGTGCAAAGAACCAAGGGGGCTCTCCTCCTAAACCCGGAGTAGCCCCACTGGCTTCACATCTGTCCCCTTATCCAGTTTGCTCCAATTCCTGGGGATTTCTTCGCCTAGGCCCAGATACCCCACACGGGCTTTATTTCCTTCCAGCGCAGAAAACCCCAAATTCGTGCCCTACCTGTTGGGGCAGAGTGATGCTCTCCTGCTCGTAGAACTCCGTGGTCTGTTTCGGTTTGATCTGCAGGCTGAGCCCCTTCTCGAAGGCCTGGTGCTCCAGCATCAGGGTGGAGCGGAACCAGAGGTTGTGGGTCTTGCCCAGGTACTTCAGCACGCAGGGCCTGATGGGGATGGGGGGCACGCACTGGGACATGGCTTCCACGAAGCAGTTCAAGGCGCTCGGCTGGCAGTCGCGCTGCACCTGGTGGCTGCCGCTGCACAGGAATGGGCTAATTTCTCCCGCCAGAGCCTACAATGGAAATTAGCCATTATTCCAAGGGCGAAGCCGGCATCGCCAGCAGGAATTATGCTCTCGACAGGGAGGCTGCCGAAAGCTGCTCTTTTCAGGATCGGAAAGACGAGTCCGGTTGAGGTTGAAAATTGCCTCTGGGTCCCTCCCGGAAGAGCACTGAAAACCCCGAAACGGCTTTTGTCAAGAGGAAAAGCACCAACGTGCAGGAAAAGAGTCTCCTATAACCTCCAGGATGCAGATCTGGCCTTTTAAAGCCACGCATGAAAGACTTCGGGTTTCTTTTCAGCCCGCCGGTGCCCAATCGTTCAGATTCAGCAACTGATCAAACATGATCGATCAAGAAGTATTTTCTCCGCCTGCCCCAACAGGTGGTGCGGAACTGGCAGCATCCAAGTCGGATCAATCAGTCAATCCCACAAAGATGTTGTTCCTTTCAGGCACATCTAAGCATCCTTTTCCCCCCCTCTGAGGCTGGAATCATTTCCTGATCATGGAGAAGGGCCTTTTTTTTTTTCTTTGCAAATTACAACTCGGGAGAAGAAGAGGAGGAGGAGGAGGAGGAGGAGGAGGAGGAGGAGGAGAGAGAGAGAGAGAGAGAGAGGGAGACGAGGGAGAGAGGGAAGGAGAGGGAGAGAGAAGGAGGGAGGAGAGAGGAGGGAAAGAAAGAGAAGGAGAGAGAGGGAGGGAGAATGAAAGTGGAAAGACAGAAAGAGAGAAAGAGAAAAAGAGAAAGAGGAAGTGGAAGAGGAAGGAAAGAAGGGAGGGAGGAAGGAAGGAGAAAGAGGAAGAGAGGGAGAGAGGAAGGAAAGAGAGAAGGAGAGAGAGGGAGAGAGAATGAAAGTGGAAAGACAGAAAGAGAGAAAGAGAAAAAGAAAGAGAAAGAGGAAGAGGAAGGAAAGAAGGAAGGGAGGGAGGGAGGGAGGGAGGGAGGAGAAGAAAGAAAGAAAGAAAGAAAGAAAGAAAGAAAGAAAGAAAGAAAGAAAGAAAGAAAGAAAGAAAGAAAGAAAGAAAGAAAATGTTTCACCAGTTTTTCATCACTGCTTTTTTTTTTTTCAAAACGACACTCACATGTTGCTGTCTGTCTGAAAGGATTTTCCACAATCTGGAAAACAGCTGGATCCAAGTTTTTTCAGCCAAAGGGGTGGAAATGTGACAAAGCTGAACGAAGGCACTTAGCAGGGCTCCCGTCTGGAACGAAACTGCGAGTTAGGCATACCCAATCATGAAGAAGACAAAGCTGATTTACCCCACCAGAAAAAAAACCGAAGGCGGGAGAAGCCATCTCTAAAGCCACAAACTGAAGCCTGCAGGCTTACTGCAACTACCGAAGGATGAGGGGTGGTGGTGTTGAGCTAGGGAAAGCTACTAGAGAGACCAGCAACCCAGAGATCTCATCCTGTGTGGTGGCGCAGTGGTTAGAATGCAGTACTGCAGGCTAACTCTGCCCACTGCTCGACCGGTAGCAGTTTGATCCTGACCAGCTCAAGGATGACTCAGCCTTCCATCCTTCCGAGGTCAGTAAAATGAGGATCCAGATTGTTGGGGGCCATATGCTGACTCTATAAACCGCTTAGATAAGGCTCTAAAGCACTGTGAAGCGGTATATAAGTGCTATTGCTATTTTCCTTCCTTCCTTCCTTCCTTCCTTCCTTCCTTGTGGTTAGAATGCAGCATTGCAGGCAAACTCTGCCGACAGCCTGGAGTTCGATTCTCACCGGCTCCAGGTTGACTCAGCCTTCCATCCTTTCTGAGGTTGGGAAAATGAGGACCCAGATTGTTGGGGGAGGCAACAAGATGCTGACTCTGTAAACCGCTTAGAGAGGGCTGTAAAGCACACTGTAAAGCAGTATATAAGTCTCAGTGCTATGGCTATTACCCAGCAGATCAACTGTGGGACAGGTGTGACACCAACATGCTAGGAGACAGCCTAAATAAAGCAGGGGTCTTCAAACTGGGCAACTGTAAGACTTGTGGACTTCGACTCCCAGAATTCCTCAGCTGGCTGAGGAATTCTGGGAGTTGAAGTCCACAAGTCTGAAAGTTGCCCAGTTTGAAGACCCCTGAGGGCCTAAAGAATGACCTGCAATGCACCTTCTCCCCCACCCAAAAGGGTTTTAGTAGCATGCGCGCTGCAGAAATAGGCTGCCCAGGCTTCAAGGAGTATTGTGAAATGCCAGGGGAGCGACAACTCACTCACCTTCACCTCGCGCAGAGAGTCCAGGAATTTGTCGTGCCGGTTGGTTAACATGTGCAACTGGTTCCCAATGTCCTTTTCGGACAGTTCTTTGGTTTTTGGGGTGCTCGTCTGATCTCCGGGAGCCAGCTCAATGTCTATCTCGACATCCTGCGTATAAAGGGGAGAAGACCAGAGTTTTGCAAATAGACACATTAAGGTACCCCCAACAGCACAGGACTCTATGTAAACAAGTAAGCTTTACGTGTAATACAGGAAGACTTTACCTCTTCTTTGGATTCACTGTTTTCTCGTTCACGAGGTTCTTGCTTGACGTGGGTGACCATGGCAAACGCCGCCCGGTCGTGGCTATCCGCCAGATTGATCACGTTTGTGATGGAGGGAAGCGTGGCCCCTTGACAGCTGGTCCCGATGGTTGTGTTCCTTTCACAAACCGCCAGCAGGAGCTGAAAGGGATTAAGAAGAGAGGCTGTAGACACAACCTGTAGATACAGTTAACCAACTTTAAGGCTGAACATGACGGTCCCTCTCGGTCTTAAGGAAGAAACCGAAGGCAAGAGAGACAGCTGAGAAAGGAAAAATTAAACTCCCATGGCTAGCGGCCGTGGACAAAAATGCAAATGATTGGAAGCTAACCAAGGAGAGAAGCAACCTGGAACTAAGGAGAAACTTCCTGACAGTTCGAACAATTACTCAGTGGAACAACCTGCCTCTGGTTGCCCAATCTCTTCTTAATAACCTCCAGTGATGGAGCATCCACAGCTTCTGGAGGGAAGCCATTCCACTGATTAATTGTCCTCACCGTCAGGAAGTTTCTCCTTAGTTCTAGGTTGCTTCTCTCCTTGATGAGTTTCCATCCACTGCTTCTTGTCCTGCCTTCAGGCGCTTTGGAGAACAGCTTGACCCCTTCTTCTTTGGGGCAACCCCTGAGATATTGGAAGACCGTCATCATGTCCCCCCAGCCCTTCCTTTCACTCAACTAGGCATGGCCAATTCCTGCAACGGTTCTCCGTGTGTTTTAGCCTAACCATATTCTTGCCTCTTCTGCTTCCAGAGAAGAGAAAGGGAAATCCAACTTGTTTGTGTCCTCACCTCGATGCACTGCTTGATCCAGAAGTGGTTCCCCATGGCTTCCCAGTTTTGGGAACAGGTGACGTACAGCAGCCTCTCGTAGACCCGCCGTTTCATGGAATTGTCAAAGACCTCAAAAAACTTGGCCCTGATGAGAGGCTGGGTGCATCGGAGGCCAGACAGGAAGGCCGGCTCGAGTTTAGCGGTCAGTTCACTCCCTGAAAGATTTTCATCTCTAAGAAGAAACAAAGGGGGGGAGCGACTTAAGTTACTTCTGTTAGGGGGTTTTTTGCACTCATGTCAGAATCACAGAGACGCTTCCGGGTTGAAAGGATTAGCCGGTGACATCACTGTTGCCCTGGGGACGCCCAGTTGGGGAATCCTTTCATGTCCCTAGAGCAGGGGTAGGCAACCTTGGCTCTTTTACGACGCGTGGACTTCAACTCCCAGAATTCCTGAGCCAGCCATGCTGAGGGGAAAGGGAAAGGTTTCCAAGCTGAGCCAAGCTGGCTCAGGAATTCTGGGAGTTGAAGTCCACGAGTCATAAAGCAGCCTAGGCCTAGGCCAGAGGTAGGCAATCTTTGCTCTTTTATGACTTGTGGACTTCAACTCCCAGAATTCCTGAGCCAACATGGGGAAACTATGGCCCCTTCATGATTCGTGGACTTCAACTCCCAGAATTCCTGAGCCAGCCATGCTGAGGGGAAAGGGAGAGGTTTCCAAGCTGAGCCAGGCTGGCTCAGGAATTCTGGGAGTTGAAGTCCACGAGTCATAAAAGAGCCAAGGTTGCCTACCCCTGGTCTATACATATGTTGCATATAGTATGTTTAAATTGTCTGTTATGTATGTGTACACTTTGAGAGCAAGCAACTAAATTTCATGTTTAATGGGGGTCGTTGCGCCCACAGTAAAAAATGACAATAAAGGTAATCTAATCTAATCTAATTTAATCTAATCTGTTTATTCGTTAGTCCAAACCAGAGGTAGGCAACCCTGGCTCTTTTATGACCCGTGGACTTCCAACTCCCAGAATTCCTAAGCCACCCATGCTGAGGGGAAAGGGAGAGGCTTCCAAGCTGAGCCATGCTGGCTCAGGAATTCTGGGAGTTGAAGTCCACGAGTCATAAAAGAGCCAAGGTTGCCTACCCCTGCCCTAGAAGGAGCTGGGAGTGAAGGACAGGAGCTCAACCCTGTCCCGAGCCAGTGCTCAGGTCTCAAACGTGGGACCAGCATCCAGCCACCGTGCTCCACTCCTGGTTGTAAAGGTATAAAAATGACTAAGGGGCTGTAACGGAGCCTGGTTTGTGACCATCGTAAAGTGGGTCACTCACACGAGTGGCCCGGTTGTATGCACTTTTTTGCACCAGTCATTAAGTGAACCCACGGGGCGTTTTTTTTTGCAGAAAATTGGGATTGTCAACAACGATATCACGATTATGTGGCCTTGGGGTGCTAGTTGCAAAGCAGGAGGTCATCTGACTGAAGGGAAGGCGTGCTTGTCGCCCCAACTGCTAAGAAGGTTTAGCTATGCTCCGGGACAATGCAAAGAGATCAAATTAGCCAATTACAAGACTCCCCCTGAATTTTCTATCTTGAATTTTTTTTAAAAAAACGCTTTAACTCCTGCAGGATTGGGGGAAAAGATCTCTTTTCCCTTAAAAGAACCGACAGAGATTGACGCGGCATTTGACTGGCGTGAGCATGAACTAAAACCTTGGGGAACTAAAAATTGATCGTCCCCCCCCCCACCGTTCCCCAATCCCCGGGCTGACTTCAAAAGATGAATGGTGCCTTCTTAAGGTCAGGCGTGGCACAAATTATGAACCGAGATACACTGACCCGGCTGATTAATTGCTGTAATTTACCTATAGACGTAGTTAACAAGGTCTAAGAACTGAGCGTTTAACTCAAGGTCCTCTGGAAAACGCTTTTCAATGTAGGTCATCATTTTCACCAGCAGAATGGACTTCTCGCGCAGCGTCGGAATCTGTTTGGGGGGGGGGGAGAAAAAAAAAAGAGGGAAAAAAATGTTGATTTTTTTTTTCTCCAGCTTGTTCCCTAAGACAGAGGTCCCCAAACTTTTGGGCACCAGGAACCGGTTCCATGGAGAGAGGTTTTTCCACGGACCGGAGGGGCGTGTGGTTTTGTGTACTGCCTGCATCCCGCAGATGGGGCTTTGCTTGTTTGTGCGGACCGGTTGCTGGTAGGCCGTGGCCTGCTACCGGTCCACAGACTAGGGATTGGGGATCCCTGCCCTAAGAGGGCAAAAGAACAGCTGTCGGTAAATGTAGCTCACTTCTGAAATAAATCTCGACTTATGACGATAATCGGGAGCAGAACGTCCCTTCCGTCGGTTATGTGAGTTGTGCCCCGTTTTACGACTTTTTAAAGCAGGGTGGGTTAACCACACCACCGCTGTCGTGTGACGATGGAAGAGAGGGGAGACAGCAAAACTTTAGAGTACCGTGTTTCCCCAAAAAGAAGACCTAACCAGAAAATAATAAGCCCTGGCATGATTTTTCAGGACTCGGGCTTATTTCAAAAATAAGCCCCAGTTAAGATTGTCAGCCAGACAGACGCGTCTACTACCGTATTTCCCCGAATAGAAGCGTAAGAATCCGCCTCAGCTAACCACCCACGAAAGCAGAACTCCTGAAACAGGCATTGTCTCAAAAGGGAACTTTTATTAGGGGTCGGTGACAGTAACAAAGTCAAGGCAAGATCTGGGGAAAATCCAGCGCAAATGGTGTAGTTAAATTAGCAATAGTCCTCCTCCCACCCAGAGTCATGATGTCCATTTGAAATCCAGCCAATCCACAGGGGGTATGACGTGTGGGTAAGCATCTCAAGGTCTTCTCCGTCTCCAGACGCATTCCTTTCTCAAGGATGGGGGCAGGAGAGGGAAAGTAGAAAGCCGAAAGTTATCCCAAGCTCCTCCTCCTCCCCCCCCAGCAGAACTGGCAGCCCCCCTCCCCAAAGTAGAATATATATGCAAGGAAAACGCAGAGGTTTTGGGGACCTGACAAGAAGCCCTAACAGGGACATAAGCCCTAATGCGTCTTCTGGAGCAAAAAAAATCATATTTTATTTTCGGGAAAACACGGGTACTTCTGGAGTGATCTTTCATAACTTTGCCTGGCTAGTGGGGGACTAGAACTCACTATTGCCTGTTTTTTTTTAGCCAGGTGCCTTAACCACAAGACCACGTTCAAGTCCATTCCCCTCTTTCTTCCACCACCACCCCAAATACTCCTTTTAGGTTACCTGGTTCGCCGCCATGGAGGAGCTGTTTTTGACCCACTCTTCCACAATTTTGACCACGGCCCGCAGGATTTTGGCGTCGCTCGATTTTTCAATCAGCGAGGTCAGGATGCCCTGAATGAAGTTCTTCCTCATCTCCATGCTCATCATAGCCAGGCGGGTCTTCACCAAGTCCAAACTCAGCATCACCAACTCGCTGGTACCAGCTGCAAACACAGCCCGGACAAGCAACTCAGATCGAGCGGGGTTTCAGCCAACAGGCCTGGGTTAAGCACCCCGTGATTCAGTGCCTTAAATTCGGCTTGCAATATCTTAACACTAATTGGGGGGGGGG